GCAGCAGCGGCCGGGGCCAGGGTCGGGGCGGCAGCAGCRGAGGAGTTGGTGGTGGTGGTGGCGTTTTGGCCGTTTAAGTGGTGGTGGTGGTTGTTGGCGGATGGCTTGTTTGTGGTCAGCAACATGTTCAAAGCTGAAATCAAATATATATAATATATACATTCATCACATTCATCAAACAATATAATTAATTGATGTCCATCTTCATGTCTACATATTCAACTTCAAAAAAAGAAAAAAAAAACAGTCCAAGATCTCAGATTAAGAGAACGATACGTTTTGTAGATTTTGCAAACATAAATTTTTAAAATGTGTATAATCCACCAATTAGTTCAACTTGAATAAAATAGTTATTTCAATCCTTACCTAATGATTCATAAGTTATTTGCTAAAAAGCTAGATCTGTTTAAAAACATGATATACATAACCTATACCATATATAATTTTAAACATTTGCCCACCCAGAGATACAATCACATCAAGTAAATAAAGAAAATACTTTCTTATTTGTTAAATAATTTATTTTTGAGAAAAAATAAATGTCATACTCATAAATTTGGAAGTGATGTATGACTTTTCACCCTAAATTTTTAATTTCATCAAACAAGCTAGTGTGGTATATTTCTTATTCTTTTTTTCAATTTTGCTAAATTTTCACTTACTAATTTTAAGGTTAAAATATCATTTTGATCCATGTACTTTGAGTTTTAGTTCATTGCAGTCATACTTTATTCATTTTGTTCTTATATCAACTTATGTTCACTAATTTTAGTCTTTTATTTCAAAAATGTTCGTTTTGATCATGTACTTTTAAAAAGTTACAATTTTGGTCTCTATTTGCAATAAAACAAATTTTGCATATAACGTTAAACCCTTTAATATAAAATCATGGTTACATTTCAATAAATATAAATATATTAATTGTAGTGTCGTGTTGAAATTGTGGTAGAAAAATAGGATTAAAAATAAAATTAAAGGGGAAAAAAATAGTTACTTTTAAAAAATATAGGACCAAAACAAACATTTTGCAAATACAATGAATAAAATGATCTAAAGTTGAAAGTAGAGAGACCAAAATGAACATTAATATATGGATCAAAATGAACCAAATTTAAAGTATAAGGCTMAAAATAGTATTTTAACATTTTAAAAAGAAACAAAMAATCTCAAAAAATAAAAAAAGATACACATTGGGTTCAACATAAATCTAAGTATGACACAAAATTAAGCTCCAGCTCACAAAGTTCAATAAAAAATTCAACCATATAGTGATTTTTTCTCGAATGTGATCAATTCCCTATATTTTATTATTCATCTATTGCTTTTAATGATTTTAAAATAAAAGTTCATCAGAAAAGTAAATATTGCTACAAAATTTGCAAACATTTATTCAACTCTAAAATCCAACTTGAATAAGTTGAAAATTTGGAGTAAAAATTAACACAAACCGGTCAAATATTTCCTTTTCCTTTATTTTATAAAAAATTGAAATATTATACAGTAAAAAAACTAGGAAATTATTTTTGAAAAATAAAATAAAATAAAAATAGCTTGTGGAAGAGAAAAACAGACAGCGAGTATGAAAAGTGGCTAGTTGGTGGGCGGGATGATGGTGACAGGAGCCACGCGCGCACGTGCCGATAAAGCGCGTGGGGGCAACGGGCAGTTAGTCCCGTTCCGTTGTGGAGAATGAAAATGCAGAATTAGGGCAAGAGGTTTTGGAGTGTTTGTGTAGGCAGAAAGAGAAAAAGAAGCGACATATTTTTTTGACTGTTGGATTAGCCACGTCAGCAAGACTGCCACGTCACCATCACCCTTACAACAGAAGAAACCAAAATATTTAAACGGACGCACCACCAAAAACCACCACCCACCATTCCCACAAACCACGTGCCATAGATACAGTGAAGAAACAAAGTAATTAAATTAATTATAAATTTTGTAATTACATTTTACAACCTATAATTTTAAAAGTTTCAATTTCATCCTTGTGTTTTAGAATTTATTTCAATTTAGTCCCTAATATCTTGAAAGTTTCAATTTAATTTCTTTGATTTGGTTAAATTTCATAAATCACTCCGTTTTTATAGATCAGAAAGATCCACCTATTTTATTTTATCTATTTGCCAGTAAACTAATACCATTAATTATAACCTAGAAATGATTTGTGAAATCAGTGGAATTTAACTAAATTAAAAGGACAAAATTGAAACTAATTATCTCAAACTATAGAGCCTAGAGATGAACTTTTAGAATCATAGAAGATGAAATTGAAACCATGTCTAAATCATTTCGAATAAATCTGTAATTTAACCTCGAAAACAACTTTTTAATTTTTAAAATCGAAAAGTTGATTTATTAGAATGTAATAAAACGCAGTAACCCTTTCATCTTCCCCCCTCTCTTCCCCAACTCCACCAAAGCAACTAATACAATTAATCAATAGAAAACGTAGGAAAAGTATTCGTAAAATTTGGCTCTAAATCAAAATGACCAAATTGAAACTAAGTATTTCAAAACACAATGACTAATTAAGAGCAACTTTTAAAACCATAAATCATAATAATAACAAATTTGTAATGTAACCCAAAAAAAAAAACACTTGTTTTCTGTTTAGATCTTAAAACTTTTGATCACTCACTCCCCAAAATTTCCAAATGGAATGTAAAATTTTGTCCCTCTTCTGGTGGGCCCCACCCCAGGAGTAAAACGCTTCATCTTCCCCTCTGTAGCTAATTTTTTCCCCAACCCCACCAAACTGAAACTCCATTAATTCTCAGAAATTAAAATAAAAAGAAAAAGGCCCTCAAAACTGAAACCCCCTCATATATACATGCAGAAGCAGAAGCAGAAGGAAGAAAATTAAAATTAAAGCTAAGCAGAAATATTTTACTTTACATATGGCTTTGTAGAACAGTTTCAGATCATTCTGAAAGCTGGAGAAAGATCGAGAAGGGTAAAAATGGAGAGTGGTATTGATGTAAAGATCTGAAAGAACATGCAAGAAAACAAAAGAGTAAAGAAAAATGCGATGCATGCAAAAATCATAAAAAGATGGTTTACCAGAGCTTGGTTTTGTGTTTGGCTGCTGCCTTCTGTAGCTATGGAACCCATCTCCTCCTCCTCCTCCATATTCCATGCCTCTCTCTCTCTCTTCCCCTTGTTTTCTTTTTCTTTCTCTCTCTAACTGARTAGAGAGACCTAGCTAGCTAGCCTGAGCCTGTCTCTTGCTTGGGAATTACTTTCCATTCTTATTTATAGAGGGAGTCTCAGTCAAGTTTCGTTTATCCTTGGTGTAACAATGTGACTAACGATTCTATTACACTAATTTAATTTTGAAATTAGTGGTYAGAGAAGGCACAGATTTTGAACTAAATTGGATTAGGGTAGTAATAAAAAAAAAATTGTTTTGGGTTTCCGGTTGAATGGACCGGCAGTAGGCGGTTGCCGGTGGGGTGGCTTAGGTTGAATTAAGGGCTAATGAATTAGTGGTGTATTTACGAGGGAAAAAGAGAGAGAAGGGCATGGCATTGGTAATCACGACACCAATCCAATTGGGTGTTTTG